TTTTTTTTTTTTTTTTGTTTATTTTAAACATTATATCTTCAGGCCCTTCTCATGTGYTGTCAATGAAGCAGTTGGTCATTGTTTATTCATGGTAATTAATTCATTGATCAATTATTTATTTAATTTTGGGTAAACCTGAGGRAAAAAACCTAACATTCCCTGATTCTCTTGCTTGTCTTTCCTATCTGTGAGATCAATGTTAATAAATTTATAACTTTGATCTTCCTCTTGCATGTATGCATTTTATAATTTATCATACTGTAACTATCAGAGTAAATTTTTCATAGAAAGCAGCAGATTCCACAAAATCAAGAAAACGTGAATGGATGCAACGTGACAAGTACTGGTCAAATACATGTCTGTTCTGCACCGTTACAGGCTGTTCCAGATAATTCATATCACATTAATCCCAGTGCACTATACTTGCTAAGAATTTTGATTTTGCTGAAGTGCCCAATATTTTTCAGCTGTTGTAGTTACTATTTTTTCGGCAAGTCCAAGAGCTTTGTTTGAAATGAGCACTGACAATGTGAGATGTTACACTCACTGTAATACATTATGCATGACATCCAAGACCAAAAACACACTCAAGCAGAACAGAAATAACTCCCACTAATGGGAAACGGCTCAGCTTTTTGCCAAGCAGGCTGTTGTTAGAACACAGCTCCTCAGCAGGACAGCCATTTGGCAAAGCTCATTCTATGTTTCTGATGTAAACTTTAATAAACACAGGAGTGAAGCTGTAACTGCCTGACAATTTAAATGCAACACAATGATCTTTATTGCTGTTGACTTTTTGCCTTGGTAGGGTTTTGAATTCCATAACCATATAATTTAAGACCTGATCCAAACCCTAGTTTTGTAGCTTTGCTTTCCATAATGTATGGAATATATTGTGCTGGTATTAAAATTATAGAACTTAATCCTTCTTTTTTGAGGGAAAAAAGAAAAAAAAAAAAAAAGGAAGGGTGAGATAGCAGCTATGATGTAAAAATTTAGCCTCAGCTTCCAAGATAGGAGGCTTAGTGGGCTCTATAACCTTGAAGTTCTGTGTCTTACACAGGTACAAGCTAACCAGAAAGTCTGGGCTGAAGAACGGGCCTAGAAATCTTTAGCCTGAACTGCTGCATCAAAGTATAGCATTTTTTTTCAAACTCATTTAAGTATTTATTACTCATTTTATGACTCAGTAACATGCAAAAGATTTCAAAAGGTTACAAAATGTAAAAGCTTTGGATAGCATCATAAAAATGGCACACATGGTGTTCAGCCTTCCTGAATATAGGTCCTAAGAATAGAGGATTTTCAACTTAATTCATCATGCTATAGCTGACTTGCTCTTATTAGCAGACTTTGACTAGCTTAGGAGCTCCTGATTATACATTCATTAACTAAGAAAATGAAATGAAGCCATCAGACCAGATCAAAGAAAAAGTTTTATGGTGCAATGCATGATATATCGGTATGTCAGGATGATGAGCAGCCAAAGCCATTAGTTAATCCACTGGTACACAGTATTTTCTGRCACAGATCTCACTTTTCTGTCTTCCAAGTGTCCAAATTGAGGTGCCATTTTTAGTGAGGAGCTGTGTAAGGCCCCTAAGTCCTTCTATCATACTGCATACTGTCTGCCAGAGGCAAGGATACCCTGCACAATGAAAGCACACGTACACTCACCTGTGTGTCTGAGTYGAGCTATTACTGCTGTTTCCCTAGGACTGGGCAGTGTCTCCCTCCATATGCAACCACCATGCAGGTTGCAACAGCAGAAAGTGTTCAAAGTGTCCCCCACAAAGAGCGGTGGTGTCTGTTGTGGTGCCACTACCCTGGCAAGGGAGTGGGGCTGGGCAGAYAAGCAGATGTCCCAGCACCATATGCCCAGAGAAGGCAGAGCCCTAGGCAATATCAAAGAAGGGTCTGTAGCTTACAGATCTCTCTGGATAAGTCTGTCTTTGAGCTTATCTGCACTCCCAGTGCACCACTACCGATAAAAAACTGCAACACCAGTTCTTAGACCTCATCTTTAACAGCAGAGGGATACGTCTTCTGAAAGAGAAATTAAAGCAGTACCTGGATCTCGGCCGGGCTCTAAGTGCAATAGATTCCTGAGCAACTGAAAAAGGAAAGGAAAAAAAAAGAATTGTTAAAATACAATATTTTAAATAAATGTCTTTAGTCACAGGATCRGTAATTATTCTTGCAAATGTAGATGTGAGAGTGTACTCCCACACAGACAATGAGGATTTAATTATTTTCACTTCTCCTTCCCCTTGGTTTCTACGGTCCTAAGAATTCAAAAGCTCAAGTGCAGATAACTTTACATTTTAATTTGGTTATGAGAAACCAGGAACAGCAGTAGATCTCTTAACTCTGACCAGCAGCCCAGGATGTGGCTATGACAAAATACTGCCACCATGGAACACAAAAAGAGCATAAACGTCTCCCAGAGCACACCTTATCCCTCCTCTAGATATCTACCAGTTGTTCTGCATCCCAAAGCATGAAGCATGTTCTTCCTAAATACTTCAACTAGTATCATAAGTGTGCCTATACTTAAATGCATACAATGTGTTTGTACACCTAATTGACATCAATTGACACCAGGGAGGAAMGATATTTTAAGGTAGTTTTACATGGTATATTTACCATGGTATATTTTCATGGTATATTTATCAAAAAATGTCTATCCATGCAAAAATCTGCCTTTTTTTTTTTTCATCTGGATGAATCCTGAATGCTATGCCACATCTAGGTTTTATGTGATACGAAATCAACAGTGCTGAATTACCTCCTTTGGGCTGTTCCCTGGTTTATAAAGTCTTTTCATACCTTTTCTGTTACTCTCTTTACTAGCATAAAATGATCTTGATAAAATATATCTGTTTGATTGCTCAAAACTTCCACTCACTGAAAGATATTCTCAAGGTTTTACAGCAGCATAAATGATCCTAATACATAAAAAAAAGTGAATTCTTGCACTTTTCCTGCTATTCTGCTTGTTGAAACAGAATGAATATTGAAATGGGAATATTGAAACAGAATAATTTCCCATTATTCTGTTACACAAAACTATAAGGGAAGCAGGTAGGCTGGAAATAAAATGTATCTCAGTGTTTCTAGCTTCCTTAAGAGACATGCTTACTTCCAGGCCAGACATTTATCATGAGCACAGCAATACCTTAGATTACTTAAGAGTCCTTCAAAATGCAGGGCAGGAGCTGCCTGTGGTAGTAGCTGGCAAATGATGATTTTCTAATACCTTGCACTGTAGCACTGCATGGACCCTGCACAGGAAGCTTCAGATGCATGGAAAATGATAGCATGCACCATACATACAGCTACACATTATTTCTTGATTGAAGATGTTGTTTTTAGGGCTGCACAGTGCTAGCTGGTACTCTGGATGGAATAAACCCAAATATACTGGGCAGCAATACAAAAAAACCACCACCACCAMCAMCAACAAAAACCCACCCAGTTTCTAGTGGATTATTGTCATCAACAGACAGACCCACAGTCATTACAGAATTTTGTATAACAAAGTCTTACCAGCACTGAAAAGGAGCACAGGGAGTTAAGGGAGTTATTATTAAAATACGCAGTGGTGATAATTCTCCTCTTTTTGTGTCAAACTCCTAGAGAATATAACTTTAGAAACTGCTTCCCTACAGCCATATGACCCAATTTTTCCAATGCTGAAATTACTGATTATTAAATTACCTGCACAATTATTAAATATATTCCATCTAGAAATAGGAAGTATAATCCTCTCCAAGCTAAGCCATATTTAAGAAACTTCAGATTTCCCTTCTTCTACAGAGARAGTAATTCTGTTCATACTTCTTCCCTCACAAAACCACAGGTAAAAATGACATTGCGGCTCTCTGAGGACATCTGGTTGAGGTATACAGCAAAGCACAAAAGGAASAGAGAATCCTGAAATGACCAATAATAACAAAAAAATAGCAATATAATTCTACTTCCAAGGATTTTTTTCTTTCAGCCACTGACAAAACAGGAAACTCAAGGCTGCAATACCACAATACCCAGACTTAGCCCTAGCTGGAACCTTTTTATGAAATAAAATACAATGATATGAAGTACAATAAAACAGTTCAGTATTTGAATATGAAAATAAATACCATTGCAACATCTTTATGGCATGGGCAGAAATTTTGCTGTGCTCATAATGCAGAAAGACGTGCAGAAAGACATGCTTTCTGCATATCTTCTGTGTGAGATGAAGGTTTGCATGCATACATAATATAGTCAGAATGATATAAAACTAAGTTCATGAGTTTTGTATATTTCTATTACTAGATATTCATAAACCCAACTTGAAAGAAACTGAAAAAAAGACTACTRAAACTACTGCAAAAATTAATTACATATATTATATAAAATTTACATAGTTCCTGAACTAGTATGGCAAGACGAACTGAATGTCCTGGCCTAGACTAACTCATATAGGCCGATGAACTCTTATTCAGTCATTCATATTGCAGGAGAGCACATGGGTTCCTATCTYGGGTGTTTAACTGCTCCCAACACCTCTGCAGCTTCGCCACCCCCCAATTAATACTGCTTCATTCTAACACTAATCCATAAAGACATGGATTGAGTAACTTCTGTCTGTAGCCTAATGGGTTATGCTCAGCTGGTGCCTGCCTGCTGCAAAAGCTGAAGATTCAACTGATTCAACTCCTACCTCTTACTGAAGACCTAAGCAGAAATGATGTAGAATTTAAGTGTTCACAGTGATCCCACTTTAATCCTTGAAAAAATATAAGGGCAACAATAGGCCTTAGGAGTCTATAYAGCTTTCTGAAGTCCAGAGTCCTCAGAGAGGCCAGAGGGGCCAGAATTTCTGACATAAAAGGGTTTTTATTTTAACTGACTTCCAACTGCTAGGTCTCCTGGTAGCAAAGAAAAYTTCCCTCTAATGAACTACAGAGGTATCATCCTTCCAAAATTTACATAAATTGCTTGAATAAATAATCAAAATTAAAATATTAATTTTCTCCTGCTTCAACCCAACTGAATTTGCATCCTGAAGGTGAAGAATTACAATGACCTTTCAGAATGAGTATCAACTTTGAAAGAACCACAAGAATCACTGTGTTGTAACTAGCACATTAGATAGCTCTTACCACGCAACCTAGAAGGTACCAGCTCAAATCCTTAATGTCCAGGTTCATAAAGTGACAGTAGTCATCACAACAGGGCAATGTTGCCACTGTCTTCCTTGGCGTACAAACATGGCAACACTGCTAAAGCAGCAAGCTTTTCCTAAGCGTACTAAAGACGGAATTGCTGAACCAAAATCACAATTCCATTCCAAGGGATCTCCTCAATAAAACCAGGGAAAAAGAAGAGAACTGGAATCCTGTCATCAACTCTTCCCTTTAAAAGCGATCTATGCGTGAAGGATAAGCAGCAATCGCTCAAGAACAGGAGCTGTAGATAGGAAGTCTGGCAGCTGTCGAGTGTTTGGGAAGAAGCCAGGAAAAAACAGAACTGGGAAATGAGGCTGAGTGGCCTTGAATAAGCCGAGCTGTAAGACAAAATTGCTAGGACAGACACTTGAGTCAGTTGTCTTGATCAAGGATATCCTCRTTACTAAAGACATTTATTAAATAAAAGGAAAAGAAAACAAGTCTAGATGTTCTGTGGGGCCAAGGAGAGCTTGCAAACACTTTTGCTGCTCTAGGAAAGAGATTAAGAAAGAAGAAGGAAAGGGACGTGAGATAATTGTATTGAACAGTAGGGAATTTTCTGGAGCAACTAAGAAACTTTTAAATATGCCATTCCAGAAATACTTTTCTGGTATGATGGGAACAAGGAGAATATATTCAAGATGGAGAGAGAAAAATCAGCAGTGGTTTTACAAGAGAAACAATCCTGAATAAAAAGCTTGTGTTAGTGCCATAAGATCCRTATCGCCAAAAGCCTATCTACCTTTCTTCTCCTTTAAGGTAAAATATGAAAGCTCAGTTTTCACAAAGGAARAATACCAAATCTGATAAAAATAAAAGCAAGAAAGCAAAAAAACTTTTGACAGTTTTAACTACCAATTAAGCCTTATTTTGCAAGTAGTAGTCATTACGAGGTAAAAGATCATTTCAGTACTAAATTATTACTAGAGCAACATGATCTTAAAAAGTCAAGTTACATTAATTTAGGTTTAATGTAATATAAAAATATTTGATAGAAATTCTAAAGGAATGTCAACTATTGACTATTTTTCTTCTTACCTGTTTTCACAGTCGTGTGCTGAAATTCCTTTGGTATTGGTTTGATAGCAATGCTTGTTTTAAGGACTTAGTAAAAAAAAAAAAAGAACAAATAAAAAAATGAAAAAAAAGTTACTTTAAATATGAACATGTAAAAATCAAATCTGAGAAAAAAATATCTAACACCATACATACTCACGAAAGAAAGAAACAGTAACCAAGCACCCTTGGAACTCGCAAATACCTTTGGAAGTAAACTATTTTTCAGAGTGAAAAAGTCAAGTTCAAGTAGAAAGGACTACACTCAATTTGCCAAATAATCCCAAATTCTCTGAACTTGGGGATGTCCAAAATCAAGGACCCATATTTCAAAGACATGGAGCCTTCACAGAGGCAGCAATGAAATATGCAGCTGGCAAGCACTGGGTGAGCTACACTTACCTACCTGAAAACGATAAACCAGAAAGTGAGGGCACACAAGAGATTGACCCCTTTTGGCAAATGAAGCCTCACCAACTTGCCTCAGAAAATATCATACAACACTGAWACAGCTGGGCTTAAATTTAGGAAATCCCAATTCTTGTGCTTATTCCCCTTTCACCAAGGAGATACATACATTATTAATAACCTTTATAGCAATACACTCTTAATGCACTTTAGCTCATTTCAATGCATCGTAATTCACTATTTTATGAATTACCACTTGAATAAAATCTCTTGCATCCATATACCTTTATCAGGTAAGACATAAATACTGAAATGCAATCTTAGTTGTCTTACAACTGGATATATTTGAGAAAGTAAATTTTATATCATTCAGATATTGTTCCTCAACTCAGCTGCTATCAGTGAATTCTCTTGTCTTCTATAGCAACACATAGCCAGCTGAGAAATTAAACGTATCACTGATTCTGTTGGCAAACATATRGATTACTAACTAACAAACAAAACTTCACGCTTAACAAAATAACAACAAAAATATTTACTTGAATACCTTGTTTATCATCTTTGCTTGCATCTTTTATTACGCCAGAGTTATCAGGTACCTCTTCAGCTGATGTCTTCTAAAGGAGAGAAGATTGRTTTATTATGCTGATTGGCACAGCAGACATAAACACACATATTTCCACAGTCAAATATTAAGTAATACAGACTAACAGAAATAAAGATGATGGGGTGATAGTCTTTCCTGTATCGAGACTTGCTTTGTGAGAATAGGAATCAAAGATTTTGAGAAAGGCAACTATAACTCTGCTTTTCAAGGTACACCTGAAAGTTAAAGCTGCACTTTACATGAATCACAAGGGATTTGGGATTATATTCAAGGAGATATTTTTCAAAGCAGAGCAATGTCATTTTATGCTTTCTTTTTTTGTGTGTGTGCATAACAGCTGTACTAGGGTTAAGGAAGATTCTATAGTCTCTTTACATGAGTAACAAATTGCTCTCCATCATGGTGATCACTTCAGTCACATTGCAAAATTGAACAGTTCTGTATTTAAAGTGTTTTGGCTGAGATAACTGATCCTCCATGTACTCTTCTCTTTCAATACATAACCATAGAGATGGAAAAACTGTTTCCCGGGCATGTCTTCTGCATGTCCATTCAAACTTTGCCTCAGACTTACACCTAAAATCTCTTTATATTTCAGCAGTAACTTGAATTACAGGCATTTGCTGTCCTTGTAAATTCTGCTACTTAGATCACCAAGAAGCAAACAAGAAGGAATTCTGCTACTACTATCTGTATGAAAAATGATAGAATCTATAGTCAGAATAATCCGAATAACGCCAGCTAACTCAGGCTTCTCTATACACAAAGACATGCTTTTTTTTTTTTTTTTTTAAATTCTTCAGGGACCTGGAAAAGGCTACAATTGATTGGATGTTTAAAATGTATTCAGAAACACAGGTTTTGTGGACTGTTTCTTAGAAAAAAAAAATCTCAAGTCAATAACTAAAGAAGGTCATGTTCAGAGGAAGAGGTTATGACTTCTACTTTATAAAGCTGTATGTGCGATTATGTAATCTGTTAAAGAAGCAACATTGCAAAAACACAGCCTAGGTGCTCTTAGAATGTTGGAACAAAACACTTCCCTAGTTAGCCCTTTTTCTCTATTTATTAATTACAAGAAAGAAAGAAGAAAACAAAACAAAAACAAAAACAAAAACAAAAACAAAAACAAAAACAAAAACAAAAACAAAAACAAAAGAAGTCATCCACTGGTTCACCAACAGAGGTTGCTACATCAAAGAGAATCAATAGCCCTGCATCCAATGGACCTTCCCAGACTGTTCCAAACTGGTTAAACAGGAACAAAAACACTGGCAGGAAGACGCACACATTATATATATTATAATTCAGATTCATGTTCTGATGCTAGGGATATATGTTTCAAGAGGAAAGTAACCAGAAGCCAATGGTGTTGTGATAATGAGTAGATAGATGAAACGCCACAGTACTTTCTCTTTTGGGTTCATCAGTAAAGAGCATCAAACCTCATTCACTGCATTTTTTGAATCAATAGAAAGTATCTCACAAATSCCAATAAGTTGTGAATACAACATTTTTTGAGGGAGTTCACAGTAACCCCAGTCATTTTATAAATAAAATGACAAATCTTGTGTCTGATCTTTAAAGTTTCTGTCAGTGAGAAAGCTGCCATAATAATGATGATAATAATAATAATAAGCAACAGGAGCAGCAATAGCAGAGTAGAGGACAAATACAAGAGGCAAATATAGGCAAATACAACCATTCRGTTAAAAAAAAAAATCTGATTATTCTTGAAAGTATTGTTGATCAATCCCTGTGGGACTTTTCATTTGTTTTTTAGTTTGTTTTTGTTTGGTTATTTTTTAATTTATCAACGCCTACTATTCAGGTGACCTGTCTCCTGTCATTATGTTCTTTATCATTCAACAGCTGCCTCCATTGTACTGCAGGGCCATAGCTGAGCAATCACAACACACATGATCTTCTGAAATTTTCCCAAATCAGTTTTGAGAAGACATTTTACAGTCTATTAATCTTCGATGATAAAGGACCACAATAACAAGACTCTGCAATAATGGTCCTGCCCTGTATGCCAGGCACAGAAGGAAGGGAGCAAAAACATCCAGACAATTGTGATATATATAGTTAGATAACACTATCTATTCCCAGCCAGTAATAATTCCCCACAGCCAATGCTACAGATTCTTTCCCATTTTCAATTTAGCCATAAAATTACTGATTTTACAAAATGTCCTGCTACCTTGCAGAAAATAGAAATGGAATAGCAGAACATTCAGCTGCTTCCCTGAGAACATCTGACTATAGAGGCAGCACAGTAATCTATTTGTAGTTATGGTGAAAAAGTTTTAAGGAGAGAGCGGAGATAAGGCAGGGGGGATTTGAAAGCTTAATTCCTTAATACAATGAAAAATTAAACATTAACTGGGGAATTTCATGCCTTTTTTCATTTTGTGTTGCATGTCTTCTGCAACTATTTTATTATTACCATGCTTCACTGCAAATGATAATAGTTTGAATAGTTTAAAAAATATAAAAGAAAACAATCAAACAAAAAAGAACAAGCCACCTATAAAGCAAAGAAACATTCAATTTAATTGTTTAGGACATCATCTCCTTTTCAATTTATCTTTGCTCTGTATGTACATCCAAGGAGCACAAGTAAGATGATCCTTAAAGTCAGATGCTTAATAAGATTATCAGTTTATTAGACTATTGAAATTATTTTTTCTATTATTATTAAGCAACACAAGATAACAATGAGAGAAAGATTTTTGAGCCTTTTGAAACTTACAAACAAATACTCTACTTTCACAGGTGCAAAGGCTGTGCTACTAAAGAGCAAATTTCCTCACAAACACATAACAACAGAAGACTACTTTCTGTAACTAGGGAAGCATTTGTAAAGCCAGTATCATAACAAAAACAGAGACACTCTAAAGCATGGAGATATTAAAGTGGATTTATCTGCACAGTGCAGTGCTATCCAAAGTGAAAGTAACACTGCGTTTTGTTAGGTGTAGCAGCCTAGAAGAATCTGCCTGGTCATGCTTCCCAGTGCTGAATTGGACAGGGGAGATGGATTCTGACCTGGAAGATTCCCAGAAGAAGAGAGAGGGATCAAATAACTGGAGAAAAGCCTTGCTGGCATCTAGCTGAGCTGGTGTGACATTCCTTTACTCTTTAACTTGGACATAGCATCAGAAGCAATTTCTCCTTCAATCTCAGCAGCAATCCATGCCACTTTACAAAGGCATAACAATTCGGAACTGTAGTCTTGTTCTTATAATCAGTCTCCATTCACCATCTGAAAGGCTAAATCCTTAAATCTCACAGCATATATAGTCAGAGCTGCAATATCCAGGCACAACTCAGTGGCCATATTTAATTTACAAGATCTCTGAAGCTTCTGCATTTAATAACTGTTTTCCTTAGCTGAGTTATGTTGGTTTGTCTTTATAAGGTTGATATCCATTGTGATTTTGTTTACAACGTATCTCTAAGATTTATTCCCAGTTCTTCCCTCAAAGCATCCTTCCAAGCTCCTTACAATTACTACCTACATCTTACATGCTAAATTCTTAGACTAAAAGACCGGTTATTAAAGTGGGGTCTGAATCATATAGAACTATGCATATCCAACACACAAAACCTGAGGTAGTACCAGTCTCCAAATAAGTAAAGTACACAGAAGCAGGGTCAGCCAAAACATTTTTTGTGTCAACAAAATATTGGGTGGAAAGTATTGAAATGGGAGTGTTGTAAATAGAAGAAACATGCCTTGGAAGGGAGGGAACAGCTAGATGGCTAGGACTGCCRACCTAGAATCAAGTCTATGTCTGAAAACTAAAGAATTTTGATCAACTGAGATTCACAAAGATTTTACCTAAAGCACTGCCCTTGTGCCCCACTGTCCCTACTGCAGCAGTGACTTTTCTTCATTGCTGGTTGTCAAGGCAGGAGGACTGAGTGCTGCTCAACAGGAAGTGAACAGTTAAGGTTTATTCCTCTGAGTACACTCCAACAACATTCCAGGCTGGAGTCCCAAGACGACTAGTGTAAACCCAGCTACTCAGAAATATCTTCTGCAAAATACCTGTCAGTCACGGCAGTGCACTGAAAGAATTGCTGCRAGAGGGGTCTGAGGTGGCTTCCAGGTTAACTTAGAGATTAACAGTCCACTTAAAGCCTCGCTGTTCAACTGCTATGCGTATCACACTACTTGCTAAGTGTGTCCATTGCTCTGAGCTTGGAAACACAACTCCCCTACTTACACATTCTTACCTCCAGCCGATTAAAGTCCCGAGTCTGTTGACTGCCTGGCAATGGCTCAGAATAGGAATCAAATAGCGCACAGTCACGAATAGGCTTCAAAGAAGCTGGAAGGGAAAGAAAAGAACAAGCAGAAAGACATGCCAAGTGTTTGGCTAACACACAGTTTTCAAAATGCTGTGCAATCATTATTTCATTTTTTATTTCATTTCGTCTCTTTATTAAAACTGATATGCAAGCCATGAGTGACAAACATTATGAAAAAAAACTTCTAACTTGCGCTTTGGAGCAAGAGTGATTAAAGTCACAACGTACATAACTTCTAAGCAATTGTAATAATTGATAAATATTTGTAAATACTYGATAAGCAATTGCCAAATTTGAGAGATATGGTTTTTAACAGACATTAACTTCAAAACAACAACTAATTGTTATTTGCGATTTACCTCCATGAATTCTGGTATGGCTTAGTTGACTTTATAGTTTACATCTTGCTGTTTCATGAAGAACAATTGCTCAACCTTCAAACCCAATTCTTGGAACCCTGAATAACTGGAAATATCGCAGAATCTACACTACACACTAAATCAGAAGGCTGGCAAAAACAAACACACTAAATACAGCAGTTGCTGCAATATGCATCATCTTTGGTATTCTTTGGTTAAACAGGACAGACAGTAGGAAAAAAAAAAGAAAACAGAATAAATCTTTAATCTTTGAAAGTAAACCACTGTTCTATTTCATGTGATCATGTCCTTCAGCTGATATCACTTTGGGATTTGTTTCTCTGAGGCAAATCGATCTTAACAGTTGGACTACCTTTTTCCTTCCTTACCCTGAAATGTAAAATAGCTAGTTCTCAAGTCCAGTATTTAGTTTTTAGCTAGCATGTGGTTCACCTGAACAAATTAAGCTATTGGAAAGCTGTCATAATTTAAAATAAAGCGGGTTATGTAAAGGTAAAAAAAGTGCATTTCAAATTTTTAAAAATTGTTTCAAGGAAAACTTTCAGAGAAAAAAGATGTGTCAAATTCTCAATGGAGCCCTGCCAGACTAAAAATTTGATACTTCACTCGCAGTTACAGAGTAGGCCATAAGAACAAGATAAATTCTATCTTATGCTCCAAGGYACTTTATTTGAAGCTTTAACACTTTCATCAGAAGCAGGTATTTCACTTGAGCCAAATTACAGAACAGTCTGCCTCATTCAGAACTTAATATAACAACCTAATGAAAAACAATATTCTGTAATCCTCATCATACTCCTAACTGGCTAAATAAAACCTAGGTTTCATAGAAATAAATCAAATAATGGTCAAGACTTCTTATACAAAAAAAAATCTGCTTACTGATCCTTTCATTTCAAAAGTTGGTTCATTTGGGATTTCTCTCTTTTTATGGATCATTCTTGGAAATTTTTGAGATGTTCTGCTTTTTATAATAAAAGTCTGTCAAAATCCAGATTTATGAATCTCGACTAGGCATCACAATCATACATTTTCAGCATGATATATTTTCAGACCCTTACACCATTAGAACTAACCATAGTGGTTGAGCAACAACTGTGGCCAGACCCAGCAAGCAGTCCCTTGAAAGTCTTTCACAGACGAGCTCAAAATGCTTGACTGCATGCAACACATAAAACAGTAATCAAGAAAACGTCCTAGTGCTAAAAGGGATAAATTGTGGAAAAAAGGGGGCTCCCAGGGAACAACCCCTTACCATGTTCTTCCATCTGTTGATATTATGATTCCTTCTTACTCTTAGTACTTATTTCCATTTCAACTTTCTATCAAAAGGCTTAATGCACCAACAAGAATAAGTATGTAGGAAGAAAAGAACCTGCATGGAGGAGCTTACAGTCTGATTTATGATGAGAACAGGAGGGAGACTACTGAACAAAGTGCTAGTTGTGGGAGAAAAAGGGTAGTTGTAATTACGACTGCGGGGTATAATTAGAGCGGCTAAAAATGAGGACGATTTGGTGGTGTACATTTTACAGGAGCGTCTCCTCTTGGATATGAAGACAGTGGATTATAGAGAACTCGTCTCCAATAGAAATTATTTCAGTAATCTGATACAGTGTGAACATTTAATTTTCCYAACTACAGCTTGATTTGCTCTTCTCCTGTCTCTTAATATATACAGTGCCATCAAATTTAATGGAGATTTTGTTAGATCTTAAATATTATCCCTTAGCACTGTAATTACCATTGATGATTAACACTCCTTGCCCTACAAAGTCATGCACATTTTCAAAATGGAACAGAATGTCTTTCAGTGTTCACGTGTAATTACAAGAGACGTAACTGAAGAGAACAAATGAAAGTGCTTGTCTTTCACTGCACATTGGTACTGAGGTATGTTATATTTTGGATTAATTTATCCTGGTTCAATGCAAATTGTTCAAGCTCCTGTCATTACTACAAATTACTTATCACATAAGCCAATCAATTACAGAGAATGAGTCACAAAATAAGAGACAACCTTTGACTGATCTTGTATCTGCATCCAACTAAATAAATTAGCATAGAAAGTTGCAAAGCAGGTCAGAATCATTTTCAACACATCTTCAAGAGACAGATAAAAATGTGAAAATCACTCTAAGAGTTAAAAGCCATGTACACCATGCAAGATTATCTTTGCTACAGGCAACTACCTTCCACTTTAGCCATAATGTCACCAGAAGTGCACTAGAGCAAAGAAACACACATTGCGAGGCAGGTAAAKGCTACATTTTGCATTGTCATTTTATGCTTTTACACATTCTTTCTTCAGGAATAGCTTCGTAAACATATTTAAAACTCTCACATTTTAAAAAAAGCAAGGGGAGACACAGTTTACTCAGTTCAGACCTTTACCTTGCCTGCAACTTAGAAATAAAAATCTGCATTCCACACGTGTAGTGTTTCTGAGACAGCCACGGGAAGAGGACAGCTCACCTGCTTGCAGGTAGTCAGGGAGCAGCGTCTCCGGCAGCGTCTCCGGCAGCTGGTATCCATTCTTCCTGGCCACGACAAGGTGGAAAGCCGCACAAAACTCCGCGAGCGTCAGCGCTCCATCGCAGTCGACGTCGCTCAGTTCCCTGCAGACGTGACAGTCACATGTTCCCCAAGGCACAGCCCCAGGGCAGCACACGYGTGCCATCGCAGAAGACACAGAAATGCAACTTTCAAAAATAGTCATTTTAATTTCAGTAGAAGACAAGCCTTTCTTGTGTGATTCTAACTATGACAATTGCCAAATATATGGGAACTTGTATTTTAATACATTTGCCCTAGGGAAATGAAGCAAGCTAATTTTCTAGGGTTTTTCTTTGTTAATAAAGTACACTTTTTTTTGTTATACAACATATCATACAATGCAAGAGTATATACTGTTGGTTGAAATACAAATTCTGTAKTTACAAGGGTGAAATTAACTTTCCAGTGGGTTGAGCCAGTTTGGCTAATTCATGCAGGATCTTAAATTGATTTAAGCAGAAAAACACAAAAACAGTCTTCAGCAAACTTTTAACAGGCCATGTTGACTGGCCGCAAAGATCAAGGAGCTAAATTAATGTTTGTTATAGCTTTAAACATTATTGTTAAACTGCTTGTTCAAGCTGTTCTCCATTTAATTCTAGGATACTTCTTGAACAATGGAACTGGATTTCAGAAATTCAAGAATTCAGTTTTATAGCCCAACATTTCTGCATAAAGTAAGTATTCATTTACTATTAGTGCAGCAATTCACATAGATATGTAACTTCCTATACTTCGAAAGTAATGAGTATTTTTCAAGCTGTTGAGGTCATAGTTACAGACTGAAACACCCCATGTGTTTAACCAAGACACAATCTGATAAAACTGCATCACCTCAGAATTTTTATGCTTTTCTTTAAATTTTATGCGGAGAACAATTTGTGCAACAATGTAAACAAAATATGCTTTTTTTCTATATTGGGTTAACATATTTCTCTTAAATAAATTTTAAATTAAATTTTGATGTTCACTTCCCCCAACTGAATATTTCTTCAGTTCTTTATATTCATGACTCACAATGCACTTTGAAAAGATTCCAGACATATTCTTTGACCCCAACAGATGTTTAGGCTSTGGCAAGTTTTCTTCATATCTACCTTCTTAAAATTATATATGTAGAAATAGAAATAAAACTCTATCAGCATTTCTGATCAACATTTAAATCCACTTATTCTCCATATCTACATATAGGGACAGCACTGAACTACAAGACATTGTGTTGTTTATGAAAATATAATAGCATCCTTGTCAAATTTTATTATGTACAGTTCCATCTAAGAATGCTACTAAATAAGCTCATTAAAAGTAAGCGTGGTTCGTTAAGAAATCACTGATGAATTATGTAGTTGAACTTATTAATCAGGCYTCATCTGACAAAGCACAGCCAGAAACATAAAACCAACAGCGCATCTAAATCCTTCCAAATGTGCTCCCCCTCTACAACATTTCACCAAAAACGTCAGTTTGTAGAGCTAATGATCCTCCTTATAACATACATAAGAACAGCTCTCATTATATCGCTGCTCAAATCCTCCCTGTCTCCCTGAGCAGGCGAACATGCCTAGAGAAAGCAAGCGTGCCAGAAAGATCAATGGGCACCCTGCTGCTCAGGCCAGAGAGTGATTCTGGAGATAAGAGCGATAATTATAATTAAAGGTGCTTTAAAAATTTAGCAAGTACTCCTGAATTAAAGATACTTTTTAAAAAAAGGAAAGAAGGAAAGAAGGAAAGAAGGAAAGAAGGAAAGAAGGAAAGAAGGAAAGAAGGAAAGAAGGAAAGAAGGAAAGAAGGAAAGAAGGAAANGAAGGAAAGAAGGAAAGAAGGAAAGAAGGAAAGAAGGAAAGAAGGAAAGAAGGAAAGAAGGAAAGAAGGAAAGAAGGAAAGAAGGAAAGAAGGAAGGAAGAGAGAGAGAAAGACAAGATACACATCCCAAATGCTATTTCAGTACTTACCAAATGTGAGAAAGCTCTGGAATGGGAAGCTTTGATTTTGTGAAGAAATTCTTTGCCACAGAACCTGTTGGGAAACCGTGCCTTATCAACTGCTGAAAATTGAGTCTCCCCTCACTTGCATTTGGCCACGGCTGCTGCACTAGAAGCAGCCAGTTCCTTTGTGCTCAGCAGATGCTCTGGTTAACCCCATGCTAACAGAGCTGTTGGACCATTTGTCACTCAGGGAGTAAGGGATAGGGAAAGCCAGGCAGAGGCTGTTGACCTCATTTCTCCATCCCTCCATAAGGGAAAAATAAASAAAGGAAAACATGCTGCAACCCTGTGATCCTCACCCAGCAGAATTAGCATATCATCAATAATGAGAATCTGGACACTACAGGCTCTGCTTCATGCATAGGTCTTTCTGTGTGTGTAGCAGTGTAGTGTTGGTGGGTCCTAGATTGCCACTTCCCTTGCCATGGCGAGGRGTAACAAAAGAAAAACAGAGGAGAAGAGGAGATTCACAAGCACAACCAAGATCCATCCAGCCTCTCACCTCATTGCTAGACCTTGAATGCCTACAGAAGAGGACAGGACCATGACAAAGTCATGCCATTACATAGCTCCACAATATCCTCAAAACCTCCCAGCCAGTGTGACTGATGAATTCCTCAAGCCAGACACTACATTTAAATATTTAGTAACTTTTAATGCATTTTCTCTCACAGATTTGTTAAATCACTTCATAAACGCAGACAAACTTCTAGCATCTATATCACCATACAGCAAGGATTTTAACAGTTTAAATTGCCTCAGGATGTTGTAGAAATTACAAGTTACCATTTATGAAGGGTATCTCTTGATGTGCAGGAACTGCCTGAGAATCTTGCTCACCATAAAGCAAAATGCCTAGCTCCTTGAGAGGCTACATGTGCACATGAAAATGCATGTATGTATGAACACACAAAGCTACATACATGCATGCATGTGCAGAAAAATAACATTACTGAACCATCATTTTCTCTTCTCTCTTGGGCAAACCATATGGAAAAGACATAACCGAGGGGAAAAAAAAAGAAAAAAAGAAAAGGGCAAAGCATTAATTTCTGCCAGCATCAAGTAATTTATTTAAACCTTTGGCTGGATCAGAACTTCTTGAAACCCAGATGGTGCTGAAGAGCAGTAACATAGCAGGGCTTAGTAGAGCTGCGTCAGCTTAAAGCCTGTGACTTCTTCCTTGCCAGACAGACTGTCAGTACCTGCAATTGATTCCTCTCACAAGCAGTCTGATCTGCCTGTTCACAGCAAAAATGCAATCTTGATATGCTGTTAGAATATTTTTACCAGGTGTGTGCTCTCCAAGATTTGCCATTAACCACCTACAGACCAGGGTCTCAATCCCTCAGAGCCACAGACACTCAGGCTTGGCCACACAAAGCAGTTAACTGGTGCTTAGCTTTCACTACATCCATGCTGCCACTTTTGTGCTGGAAAGCCTAAACTTTTTTCCTTTCAACACTCGGCAGGTGTGATGCACAAATACTGTTCCTCAGARTGACAGAGTTTATTTCCATTTTTATTGAACAGCAATACTTCCCTCTTAGATGCAAATATTTTCCCGACATGATGACTCAGAGTGCTGCACCGTGTCTGAGCAGCAAGGGTGCTTTCCTCCTTAACAGATTTAAAATGCTGCACTGGAACCACTTTGTTTTAATGACAAATCACAGGTTTTCGTGTTTTTTTCCTTTAGCTCTGCAGGCAGCTTAGGCAAGAGAAGGAACGTGATCTGCGTCACTGTCAATGCTTTCTTTTTTGATCCCAATTAGTTACATCTGCATAAATGCATGGAGGTAATGAGATGAAAATGTGCACTAGATAGCAACATTTGGACTTCTTAGGAGGATGCACAGAGGAGAAGGGGAAAAGAACAAGAAACTTATCAGATTCTCAGGTGAACTACCAAGGACTGAAGGAAAAGGGAAGAAAGACATTTTGTCTGCAAAGCAGATGTGATGCACTTGGCTTTTCACACAGTCAGCAGAACAGAACCACTTCTGAAAGAATTAGCATAAATATTTAGGGAGAAAAAAAAAAAAAAAAGAAAAGCAAACATAATGCCCACAGTTCTATTTGGTGTTTTAGTGGTTTGCCTTATTTAAATAAAACACACACAATTCTTTCCCTAAGCATACTCTAAAGAAAATTAAAAATACATATGCAGCACTTGGAGTCTCTCAGCCTTGTCTCTCTGCTCAACACACAGGCCATAGCGCAAACATCACCTGAAATGAAGGCGTTCAGGTCGGGCTGCAGGGAGAGGAACTGGTTCACGTAGTAGTCTCGCTGCTCCTCTGTTATTCTCCACGGGTCATCRGCGTAATGGGCACTGCTGTCCGGCGCCTCCCGCTCCACTGAAAGAGACTGAAGGGAGAGCCGCTGGCACGTGGGGACCGCAAGGCCAGCAGGGCATGGGGCAGCTCACGAAGCCCCGTTCCCCCCACTCCACTCATGGCACGTTTCTAACATGATGCCTGGCAGCAAGGGTCAGGGTGGCTCCCATTGCACCAAGCCAGGGGGACACCTGTGATGCCCGGGGCCCCCTTGGCTTTTCGTCCCTTGCCCCAGTTTTTGTAAAACCTCTGCTTCGAGAAACAAAACATTCAGGAGGAGAAGGATCTTTTGATTTTTTTTTTTTCCCCCTCTTAAGTAGTCTTGGTTAGGGGTGATTTGCATAGTATCCCAAAGAGGGCTGTGAGTGTAGTCAGTGTGCACACTGCTACAAGTTAATATTTAAAATGTTTTTGGCCCATTGACAAATAGGAGGATAAAGGAGGAGGGCAGGAGCAAACAATAACCATGCTCCAAACGACTTTGAAGAGTTTCTCTGACATCTGTGTCAAGAATCGAACACAAAACATTGGTTTTGAAATACATCAAAAGATCCCTGAAATGAGCAACATCATAAAGCTGTAAATTAAATTTCATTTCAAAGCAGCGCACGCATGCACCCAATTTCATTTTGTTCTCATTTATCTGAAGATCTTTTCCTGAAGCCCAGGTGACATTTCATTATGGGTATAGGAAGCTGAGCACTAGCAGAAAGGCACTGAATCCCTGGATCTTATTTATTTAGGAAAACCTCTCCCTAATTTTATTTAAAAATAAATGTTTAGTGTAATATAAATAATTCAAAACAATTAGGAAAGATGCTCATTTTTCTATATGGGAACTCTAGAAATTTTCATTTCAAAGGGTTTTACTACAGTGACTACATAGCTATTTTCTTTAGTCTTTCTATAGTGCTTTTGCATAATCCCATAATGTGAACAGAACTGGCAATTATATGACAAGATATTACCCTCAAAACAGTGAAATGAGACTGAAGAAAAAAGAAATTTTGAGCTATAAGAAAATAAACATCAGAGATAGCATATAGCTATGTTAATCAGCCTGGTTGTTTCTGCATCCTAATATTCCCCATCACTGTTGCCCCCGGAAGAGAGATTATCGGCACAAACCACTAATGACATCAGACTTTTAATCACTAGCATGTTGTCTTGCCTTTCATGTTATTAGAGAAGTCAGTACCAAAAAATGTCCTCAGCTGATCTGATCTCCACATATTCCCTCAAAATTACCTATTCTGAAGAACATTAACCACTGTTAACCACAGGGGACAATTTGCAAGAAAATGGCTGGTACAAGCCCAGGTATCCCGGTAAATGGCAGTGCAAAAAAATCTTCCTTATAATAACTCAAAAGAGTATGGCTTTTTTATTACTATTCTGATTTTCTTGAAGTACATATTTTTTTTTTCTTAGAAAGCCTTTGGAGTTTGGTATTTTTTTCACTAAAATTAGACTCTGAAAAAGCAATTAGAGCACTTAAGAACCTCGTGCCCCGTCTCAAGTCTTCATTGGCCCAAGACACAGAGACGACTGCCTGCCCTAGAGGACCTCAGGGCACCTTAGCCACCTGAAGGCCCCTGCTGTACTGGCAGCTGCAATTACAAACACCCCCCACATCTGTCCTTTGGTACCATCAGCTATGCCATTACTGGCTGTGTCTGTAGGAATGGCCAGATTTTTTGGTCCCATTTCAAGATATCTGTTTTTAATGAAGAAGGAAAGAGAAAGGAGAATTTCCTTATACTGAGAAGTGCAACCTTTAGAAATGAAATCACTGCCCATAAAACCTATAGAAAGGGAAAAGAGGTATAGCAAACTATTGGGACTTTTGGGGTTTTTTTGATTTAGTCATTTGAAAAGGCAGTTGCTTGTATCTCCCGAACATAATCTGGCATTCCCTGAAACTCTTTCTGTTAGATATGCTAGGGATAAGATGCATATACTTTTAGACACCTAGTATTTCCAAAAGTAATAAAGTATTACTATATCCCCCCAAAAAAGCTATGTGCTTGGGAGAAATAAACTGCATTTCAGCATGTCTGTCTTGGAAGTTAAAACTGAATCAAACTAAAAGCAGATCAGAAGAGGCAGAGCAAGGTATAATGTGCTTTCAATAGTCTCTCATTTTGAGTTGAACATTCCAAGTCTAATTTTTCTATACCATTTGCCTGTACTTTTTGTTTTACTGAGCTTCACCATTTTAATTACATACTTCCTTCCTTCAGCTTTGCTTTTTTCTCAAACTTAAAAAAAAAAATCCTTCAGATTCTCATCTAAAACTATCAATGAGAACACATACGAGAAGACATATTTTGGGGAAGTAAGAATTCTTTTGCTTTTTTTTTTTTCCCTTTTAATTCCTCTATGGCTTTTTTAGCACCATTATTAAAGAAAAATATATGGAATTATATGGAATTTATTACCCGGTTAAGAGTTGAACATGCACGTGTAGATTTGGCTCCATAATTCCCTGACGCTGGTCCCTCTTGCTGGTGAGTAGAATGTCTGACTTCATAAGGTGCTGCAGACATTTTCAATAAAACAAATAAAAGGATAATAAATAAGGTTCTACTAGGCTAAAGCAACAACTAAATATTACAAGCTCAACTATCAGTTAGTGATGTAATGTCATCATAACAAAACCTATTTTGTCTTCTGCATTATCATCCCGGCTACATGCTCGTCTTCCAACCTACATCATTCTTCTTTAGACATTACTGATACCATCCTTTTACTAGATGACATAGATCACTGCTCATACTGTTGAAATCTATATAGCCTACTTATATGTTTATAAATTTTATGTATTTCTAGCCTCACATAACAGAAGACAATGTTGCAAATAATAAGAAATAGTTAAACTGAGCTGCAGACAAGCTTCTTTTGACAATGTTATCAATCATTAGTCTTCCATACACTCTTCTTCCCCCCTCCCTGAATTCCAATCAAAAAGCAAAATAAAATGCTTAGCATATCTCATCATCTTAAGTAAAGTTAGTGAAGAAACGCAGTCACTTCTTCTTTAGYTAAGTCAAGTCACTTGCATTCTGCTGCAGCAAATATAGTAAGGAATGACACAATGCCTATTTAAGAACAATGTTTTAAAAAYATGCCAAGTACACAAGCACAAAGACAACTCACTTGCAAATTCTCTCACAGAGCAGTAAACTTCTGCTGGTGGGGTTACATTAAAATGTAACACTAAAAACTTAGTCTGCCTTAGACAGATGCAATTTAAGAGACTCTTGATAAAAAGGGATAACAAGAAAGCTTAAAAATGTATTAAGCTCAGAAAGTTCTTTAAAACTATAGCCATAATCCCATTACCTTCTGTGTGATCTTATCCTGTATTGGTATCTATTTTTAAGTCCTGTACAACTAAGTTTTAATTTCAGAGAAAAAAAAAAAAAAAAGGCAGGAAGGAAGTTGTGAAATATACAGAAATATTTAAAGAGGAAATGCAAGCCCAAGGCCAAATGGTTATGTATTTACTATCAAGACAAAGTTCAAAAACTATCAAGAAAAAACATAAAATCCATTAATACATAGTCATGGTTGCAGTACAGAGGTTTGACTTTTAAAGTGTCCTTAAGACACATTGTCCAATTCCAAAATTATGCTTTCAGTATAAAGTGGGCTAAAAATGTCAATTTTGTGCAGCTATCTCTACATATATATACACAAATAAAGTTTTTTTCAGACCTACCCTTTTGAGTGATCTGCAAAAAGACCAGAAGGTTAACTTTAAAACCAGAAGGACCCATTAAGTCGCCTAGTCTACCACCTGATATTACATAGGTAGTAATATTTTACCCCATTGCTTCTGTTCGGAACATCAGCATGCATTTGACCGAAACATTTCTCRTGAAAGATACCTAGCATTGGGTTGAAAAATTCTATGATCTTAATTTAATCCATATCATTTCCTGGGAAATAAGCATAGAGTTCTGCAGGGGAAGGACATTATCTGCTTAAAAATTTAAGATGTTAAATAATTAATTTTAGAAGAATCTGACACTCTAATTAGGCTGGATCCTCCTGACTCTGTTAGCTTTGCATAACCTCTGATTCCATGAGGAACTGTGCTGACATTAACAAAAAAATATCCCACGGCCCTACACCCAAAAAAGCTGTAACCCTGGCACAGCATGGAAAAAAGTCCAGAAAACAGTACCGCACTCTACAGGTATTACACCCTGAAGAACAACGCACTAAGATATGGCAGGTTATCGGGAACAGTGGTCTGTATCTGCAGCATGTGCCATTCATTTGAGCAGAACCTCTGCTCTTGGTGTATTAAAATTGCATTAAGATTGCATTAATCTCAATGCTGAGATTAAGATAATCCCAGCATTGTTGCTTATATCAGAAGTCAAGCAATGCTGTTTTAACTAGTTAAATGCTGTTTTAACTATTTATGCTGAAGGTAAGGTGAGAAAATACCCTGCGTCTGAGTTAGGCTTACCTAATCAACAAGTCAGTGGATATAAATCAGTACTAACATGATTTTTATTTATCTGGAAGGCCATTTGATTGTGTTCAAACGTGTTTTTATCATGACTGTAATTAGCTTCAAAATGTTTCATTGCTCTGTTTATTCACTCATTTGTGAATAAAYAGCTCATTTGACAGCTGGTAAAGGACTAACATACTACACTTTCACTCATTACAAACTAAGTCATAGCAGTCTTCTTGCCTTTCTTTGACAGAACAGTCCAATATCTGATGTCCAATATCATCACCACATTTGTCATCAGATTTTGCAATTATGAGAGGAAAGGTACCTTACCAGCAACAGGAAGTCTAAGCTCTTGCTAAAATCTCGCTTCTAGCCCCAAAAGTTCACTATAAGCTTTTGTACTCCTAAGATATATGCTATCCTCTTACTAAAGTTAGAGGGTTTTGCTGACAACTTTAAGGGAAAGAAGATCAAGGACAAAATATGTTTGTAGGGCTTTATCTCTGTTTATTTTGTCTAGGTTACATCATGGGCCTGTATTTATATTCATGCCCTATTATTACTTTTTTTATGTAACCAGAGAGATTATTATCCTTTACAATAAACAGAAAACCTTTGTTTGCAGGAAATTTGAAAAGTAGCAGAGCAGTTACTGAGATCAGAACTGGGCTTTTCTCCTCCTCTAACTAAACAAGAAGCGTCATGCACTCTAGGGATGGTCACAAACTTTCTATCATTGGAATGTACTGTGCACAGTTGTCAAAAATTAGGTACTGTCATTTATCTGTGAGCAGTAACATGCACATCTACATAATCTACCAAATAGGAAGAAAAGATTGAATAAACAGAAAAAAAAAAAGCTTTTATGCAAAACAGAATTAGATGATTGGATCATTCTCCAAAATCCAAGTCTAATTGAAACTTGAAATCATTATCCTGATTGTTAGTTGCATTTGAACTTCAGAAGCTTAGAAGAAGAAAGAATTGAACACAATGTGTGCATCTCAGTTTATATCCTACCTCCGTGCTGCTGCTCCAGCCCATTTCTTGATTTACCATATCCATAACTTAGGTGTGTTCTCTGATAACTAGAYGGAGAAGCAGGAGGTGAACAGATTGGTGACATTGGAGGAGACTTGGGTTCCTATTTCAAAAACAATCAACAGAAAATGGAATTTTGAGATGACAATAAAATGACCCAGTAATCTTGCATGACAATCCAAACACATACAGCCTGATGGACAAAGAACACTAAAATACAGCAGCTCCCTAAGCCCTTTATTTTCATGAAAATTCTCATTCAAAAAAAAATAGCAAGAAGGTAAAGACAGGCTTTGGTATTAAGCCTTCTTCTAAAAGTGAAGCACAGCAAGGCTGTAATAAAGTATTACAGTTCGCAACTTAAGACATTTTACTTCCAAATACACCTGAAGTATTTTGTCAAAGGCTTAATGTTAGTGGCTATCTTTCAATTTACATATCATAGTGAAGTGAATACATTCTTTGTTTGAAAGAGCATTTTCCATATTAAAGCCAGTCAAATACAAACAAACAAACAAAAACTTCTGACTTGGTAGTTTAAGCACTCTGTGGATTTCCAGGTGTAACTGGGTATCTATCCTAGAGTGTCCTCTTTCCACTGGCTTACAGAGATTGTTTGAGGATGATGTGATCCCCAAACAATGGCCTGTATGAAAGGAAAACACCGCCACAAAGACAACCTAGAAAGAGTGGAGGTTTGATGGCAGCCTTCTGCTTCAGCATCGGTACATGCAGACAGATAGATGTATGTGCTATTCCTCGTCCTGCTCTTTCCTTTGCATGTTTTGTCACCAGCTCATTACTCCTGGTTAACCTCAGGCCGGGAACGCTGCTACTCACGCTGATGCAGTGTCACRAACGCACACAGAGAGAAGGATAAAGTGCCTGCCACAAGGCATTTACAATGTGACCTGATACACTACCAGAGGAGAAGGTGTCAGGCTTAGGAAAAAAAAATATGTAAATAATGCTTGCTCTGTCAAGTCCCTTGTATTTGAATAAGCATTCTCAACCCTGCTAAATACATGTAACATAAATCTCATTTTGACAGCATTATTAAATTGGCAATTCAGGACAGCAGAAACTAGCAAGAGGCCTCACTGACAGCAAAAGAAAAACAGATTTCTTCTAGGCTACTCTGCTGTTATGTCTGGGAGAGACTAGAAGGGAAAAAATGTTGTAGCCCTATTCCACCCCAAATAGTGACTCATAACAGTCTTTTCCTCCTTTCAACAGCTCTCTTCCAACTGAGTAGTTCTGTAACAACTAAAGATCACACTTAACATGAGAAATTATTTGCTTTCCTGTTTCTCTCCCTGCTTTAACATGCAGATCTCTTATTTGCTCCACTTCCCCTGCCTTCTCCAAGAAACAGTACTAAAAATAAGCAGGACAGTATTGAAAGAACTTCTATAGAATATCACAAGGCTAATAATTTTATACAAGTTCGTATAAAGAAATTGCTTTCGGGGATAAGACTGATGGATAGATCATCAAAATAAGCACAGAGTCCTGATGGGTGATATTTGCAAGCAGGGAGTTCATCTCACATATAGCACTGCAAAGCTGAACAAGCCCATGTGCGTGTAGTCATTTACAGAGCTAGACCCAAAAGSAGTATGCATAATGATATATTGGCCTGAGGGAGACAGGCCAGTTACCTGTTTGTCCCCTTCATCTGTTCTTTTGTAGGAATTTTTTTCCAAAGTTGCATGTGGAACCTGAAATTTAACTCCATGGGGTTCTGTTGGATTCCCATAACGTATTTCACTGTCATTTTTCATCGCCATAAACCGTGGCAGAGGCAACTCTTCATTAAAAGAAAGAAAAATTCAATTGAGTCTATGGCATATTAGAAGTCTTTGAAGTAGTATCATATTGCAAAACCAATGGAAAAAAAAGTACTATTTATATTTTATAATATTTGTAACTATGGAACTCTTGTGATTATTTTATGTCTCAGTGAAAAAATGTGAATGCTATGCAAAGCTGTATTCACTAGTTTTATATATCTTTTCTCAATGCAAATAGAAAGAAATAAGCCTTGTGTGCGCTATTAAAGCAAGTGTCAAACTCATTTCCTGCCTTGGAAATGTCTAAAATGAAAAGAATGGTTTTCCACAGAAGCTGTGGACCTAATGAATTCCTTGGGTGAGGATCACAGTATTCTCAGCAGAGCCATCATAAAAGGAACAAATTAAAAATGCTAGGGTTAAGAGATCACTTCGAGGCCTGATGAGTCTATGGTGTCAAAAGAACCTATTTTACCTCTGTTCTGCAGAGCGAAATAGAATAATACTTCTAAGCAAATGCATCTTCAAGGCAATTCACATTTTGAGAAAACATCCAATTATTTAGAAATCTTTATTTTGATGCACAGTTACCCTGTAAGATCAATACAACTAAAATTAACAGAACATAGGCTCCAAAATCAAGTAAAGCCCTGCATCACCTCTGTAATCATCTACACCTACAGCTGCTAATGGCAAGATAAAGAAATCAATTTGAGGCTGCTACGTGTTACTCATCCCACTCTAAAAGYGCTAATATATTTCAAGAGAAAATGTAATTAGCACGGGAAGCACTTCAGTAACAGCCAATAAGCAGGATATCAATACAAGAACTGGGAGTACCCCATTCACTCCAATTGCAGATGTTGCACTTAAAAAACATAGCCAGTAAATCTCACTTAATTTGGATTTCTAGAGGCCTTTTTTCTTCTCAAATTAACAATGGCACCCCTAAAAAGAAACCCAATGCGAGAGAGAGACAAAACAAGTTCTCTGTAAGGAAAACCATGGCCAACAAATCTAGGCTGCCTGTTTTACTCCCAGTTGAAGTTCTCCTGATAGCTACTAACCTCCTGTGGTACCCACATTGGATCACCTCTGTTTCGCAGGGAGCTCTGCAAGAGCAAGAGCTTGGGCAAGGAGCTGAACCAAGGCAGGTCTGCATGTGCCTAAGCCCAACTTTCAGCTGGCTAGGGGCAGCCCTGGGAATCTGTTCCTCAAAACATACCTGAATGCACCCGCTAGGGGTGATCTGCCAAACAATCCCTGACTATCAGGGGTAGTTTGATGGACAGGTCCTCTCCTTCCTACCTTCTCTCTCAACTCATGGTCCTTTGCTCTATGGGTTTCATCAGGAAGGTGGCAAACACTGTGGCCCAGAGCATGTCCTTGTGCAATGCTTCAAACACGTGTCTGTGACATGGAAGCTAAGGGCTCAAACCTGTTAAGGCTGATTCATGACTGGAAAGCCATCAGTTATGAAACCCAAGCATGGCTGAGCATCACTGAGGCAAAAGCATCTGGCTCCTGCCACTGACTTCTACCAAGAGAACAACCTGAAGGGAGCCTCTTTCTTTGTTCATTACTAGATATTGATAAGCTCTCCTGAGAAGTATTTTTCTCCATCAGAATGGCACATTCAATATTAGTGCCAGTTCTTTGTGAGAGAGAAAAAGAAAGCACACATTTTAAGCCACATGTAATGTTTTTTCATACATACCAATGAAAATTGTTATGATCTTATTACCACAGCCTGTTTATTTCAGAAGGATTATCTTCTGAAGCAGGCCAGGGTTACAAGCTGCCCAGCAGAGAAAGACCTCTGAGCTTCCCAAAACATTACTTCAGTCCTGAAGCGGCCATCAGTCCCTGCTCTGGACAGATACTAAGATCAGAGGTTGAAGGGACAAAGAAATGGATCCATAGCACTGTGCAGCCCATTTCACCTCCTTTCTGGTAATGCTTTTTATAGGAGGGAGATATAATGTCAGCTTTGCCATACATGTAATTCACTGTAATTGTCTCAGAGAATGTAACATTACCTACTGGCTCTTCTCCATTCCCCAAAACACAGTTTTGCTTCATGCACAAGTTAGAAGAAAACTTTACCACAACAGACGGCTAAAAAGCTTTAAAAAAAAGGAAGAAACAAGTGCAGAGCTTTGCAAGCAAAATTTGCTACTTACCATTCTTAATGCTCTCAATCCGCACTGGAAGCCCCGACTGTGCTGCCGCAATTAACTTCAAAGCAATATAAAACTGAGCAGGACCAAAACAACCCACACGTTTGGCTCCACAAACTTCTGTAATCTAAGAGAAAAGAGCATTTTTGGTAAAAATGCATTTCACTCCTACGGGGAATATAAGCAGTACTAAGTAAACAAGCAAAGGAAAAAAATATCTTTAAAATTGCAAAAGGTTCGTACTTGAAGATCTCTATTAAGTGTATGTGGTTCAATTCAGGACATCATAGTCTGATAATATGCCCCCCATATCACAGGCAAGTAGTTATTTATTACCCTTTTCAGAAGTATTGCTGTGTGACATTGCTAGTCTAAAACACATTATGTGGTTTCATATCACAACTGGTTGAATTTTAGTAGCAGGCAAAATGATTTCTGTAAGTACGCAATTCCATATAAAATGCTTCCATCATACAAGCTCTGACAGCCCTAGAAAAATCGTAGTCACTATTATATAGGGACCTTGTAGCAATAGCCCTTATAACAGTTACTGTCATTAAAATATAAATATAACACAAGAAATATCCCAACATGCTACTTTAGGTTTTCATTGTGAAAAAGTAACGTGGGAGAATGTTTCAGCTAAGAAACCTTCAGGCTTTCTCAGTGGAGAAGCTTAGTTTCCCCCATCCTATCCTATACATCTTCAATTAGACCTCCACCACCTCCTCTGTAAAGGAAATCATTCCAGATTCACACACAGAGACAACAGCTAAATAAACAAAACCTATCAGCAGGCCTGAAACACAGATGCTAATCCTCCCATGYCTGGAGCTGCAAGATGCTCAGAAACAAATTTCAGTCATCCTTTCAGGTTAGAATGAAACTACGCTGCCCTCAGATGCAGAGGGGAGCCTCAAATTGTTTTTCTAAAAGTACACAAGGATTAGCAAGGCCTCCCAACTGCTGAGTTTTTATGACCTGTGTGCTGAACGACACTAGAGTGGTGTTCGTTCTTCATGGCTAAGTTCCGCTGTCCGGAAAACCCTGCCAGCAGGACAAGTGCCTGTACTCCCCACCTACAGCACGAAGGAAATAATTGGCACTTGATGCAGTAAACAAACAACACAAATGAAAATTTTTTATTTTTTATAATATTTTACATACACTATGGTAGAACGTGATTTATTGAAAACAATTGTCGGAATGGTATTTTTTTAAATAATCAAAAAAAAATGTCTCCAAGTGTTTTCTTCTTTGGATATGGCTGCTGCTTTGACTGCATGAGTGTTGGCTTCCTCCTCTTCCCGTTAGTTTCTGGGATGCACAGCTTAAATTCCCTGATTACAAGACAGACCAAGTAGCTGCCTTTTCTCTTGCTACTCAATGAAAAGAGTACGTAAAGCTTCAATTAACCCATGGAATTTGCCATCCTCTTTCTTCCACATATACATAGAGATAATCCCACGGGCAGTTTGTCAGGACGCTAGGTAGGGTTCTGGCACTTGGTACCAAAGACTGGACCATCTCTCTACGTCTGGGAGCATGCAAAATATTTAAAATATCTGGGACAAACTGCAAAATATTTAAAATACCTTCTCCTCTGCTCACTCCCCAGGACAGCAATTGTCTCTTAGAGTACGTTTGCATGTGATATGGCTTTTTGACTCGTGGCCTTTCGGATACACATGCGCCAACACCAACGCACATTCTCAGTCTTGCTGGTCTACTCAGAGTTTGGGTGCTACTGAGGAAGGGGACACATTTCTATCGACAAAAATTCAGCTAGGCACATGGCACTGGTTTCTCTTTTTGGGGGGAGAAAGAGTAAAGTAAGAAAAATATAAGTTCTGATGTCAGGGCAAGGCATAGTATCTACTTGATTCTGCAAATTGCTCARTCGATGAGGTAGCCTCATTGCATCATTTTCTTCTCTTTTACAAACAGCTACAGTCATTTTCAGAGGCAAACCTTGCTGCTGCCACCTAGACTGTGGCCATTTCAAAACTAAGCTGTGAGACACAACTTCTCTTACTTGGGACTACAGTTCTCTCAGCAAAGGCTGGACAGATTTTTCTCCTCTGGAAAAAAATCTTTCTTTCCTGCCCTGCCACCACATGCCTGTGGGCATAAAACACTGGCATTAGCATCAGCTATGTCTTCTCTCTCCATCTGCTAGAGAAGAGAACACGGAGCAACTGTGTAAYGCAGGGAATTGCAATGCTATAATCTTTTATCTGATATCACATTATTACCTTTTGAAAAGTAACTAAGAGTTGATTTCATATGTATATTTTCTTGTCTAAGGCCACTGAACCCATGCATTGCTCTTTACAAATAATCATTGTGAAACTGTCTTTTTGTAATTTTGCTCTTTGGTCATAACAAGATGAAAATACTTTTACTCACAATCTCTTCCAAGTTACTTTTGCAATTAAAATTGATCAAACAAAATTCCAATTTCTTGCTAATGGCCTGGAGCAACAGATGCAAGCTGAAAGAGTAGCCAAATTTATTACACAATTAATTGGAAGAGTTCACTTCGATTAATTGTAGGCACAAGCATTTATTCCAACTACATTCATTGTATAGTTGAAGGAGAGATACTCAAGATCCCATGCAGAGAGCAATTCTTACCACCAAAATCAGGGCCCTGTTTAGAGCTACCACCTGGAGAAACCGCTGTCTGGCAACAGAACCTTTAACCATTAGCCTTTATTTAAAATTAATTCTTCAGAACATGCTGCCTGCTTAAATTCCCACAGCAGCTTAAACTGAACACTGCATTTTTTTTTTATTTGCCGGATTTACCCTCTGCAGGGCCAATCTCCTGATGGGCAGATTACATTTAGTGATATGCTTTGCTGCAGCTAAAGCAGTTTGTGCAATATACTATTAACAGTCTTTAAGATCCACCTGAATTAAAGGCATTGTAAATGAATGCCACATGATATTTTTCAAGCTGAAACTGGACTCTCTAGCTAGTAAACCAAAGAGCACTTTAGAACTCAGGTATACAGAAATACCTCCTGAAAGACAGAGGAAAACGTCAATTCTGCTTTCACTCAACTGAGATTTTAAAACAACATCTTTCTATCCTTCCCTATTGTCAGTTTAGGTTATGCAGTTTTCAGCAGGCTAGCAAAAAAGTGCTGATATTTTCTATTCATGCACCACTAAACACACAAAAGAAAACAAAGTGCACGTTTTGATCCTGCAAGAGATTTTAAGACAGTACTATTGACAATCAGTTTTCATTGCAAAACTATTTTTTTTTAGATTCTTCCGCAACAAACTACAATCCTTCAGTGATAGCTGAATATGGAACAAAAGCTTAATGAAGAACATGTTGGGAATAATTTTTCATGGTGGCAGGTTACTGCTTTTGCTTGCCAACCCTGACCTCAGGATTCTAAACATTAGTCTGAGAGATGCATTCCATGATTTGTGAGAGAAGAATATAATGTCGAAAAGGCTAAAATGGAATTAAAATTTCTGCAAGGTGTAACAGCTCATATGGAACAGATTCACAGGTCACTTTCCAACAGAAAAAAACAATAAAAAGGTCATTTCAAACAACATACAGAAACAACAGACGTAAGGAAAGCTATAATGTCTCTACTCTTGTTAATTCTAAATCAGTCCTGGAACAATGCCTTCAAATGCATTGGAATTTCAACAGATAGTCTTAAACCATATGTTCTGTACAAGAATCACACCATCTTTCCTATCATACAGCCATGAAAGATGGCAAGGAAGATCTGTATGTGTGCACACCCTTCAGAAGGTTTTCTGTGCTTGTAAAAATACAAAACTTTATCTTTTTTTAAAAAGAGACTTCTGACTTACCAAYATTAAAATTTAAAATGTAGCTATGGTATCATCAGGGCCTCTGAGCTGTTTGGAAGAAAGGCTGTTTTAAATTACTGTTCTCCATGCAAAGTACTAATAGAAAAGCTTTACATCTTGAGATGCTGGAACAAAAAGCAGATTTTTGTATTTATTATCCACTCACTGCTCTGCTCTATCGGCTGACAGCAAGTGTTATTTTTGTAATTGCTCCTTGAAGACATCCCACATGGAGCAGCTTTTCCCAGCACAAWCTGACATTGTTCCAGCTCTCCCCTACTCTCTCCAAAAAGTTTCCACTGCAGTCTCCAAGAGCACTGACCTCTCACACACCCCGGGCAGGTCTGATTTAGATTGCAAGAGCTAAACTTCAGGATTTGAACATAAGCCTAGGGTTGAAGGTTGTCTTCTGTAAGTGCAGAAATAGGGGGAAATCAAAAACAACTATTCAAAAGTCTTAGAGTAGATGGGCAGACTGAAGATGACCATCCTCAAGCCTTAAGAGAAAGCCTTAAGAGCAAGGCAAAGATAGAGCTGGGATTTTTGCTTTTTTTTTTCTTTTACACAGCCATTAACTCTGCTATGTTATCCTCTGTATTTACCTAGCAGTTTTCATCTGTTCTGCCCATTTGCCACTATCTGCCATGAAGATTATCATTGTCTGTCATCTGTAGGTAAACCCAGCCCAAAGGGGCTCAAATTTTKGTGAGCAGTTGAGTCACTACTAAAAACAAATATATGTTGAATATATATTCAAACTTATTATGAAAAAAGAAGATGGAAAACACGGTCTTCTGGGCCTACCTGCCTCTTTCATTCCAAACCTTTCAAAGTCCTTCTCCTTGTTTGTGATAAAACTAGGCAAAAATATTTTCCAGTTTATCARTTACTTCTGCATTTTCACAGATCACAGAATCATAGAATGGTTAAGGTTGGAAGGGACCTCTAGAGATCATCTAGTCCAACCCTCCTTGCATACACAGGGTTACCCAGAGCTCGTGGCACAGGGCTACGTCCAAGCGGGTTTTAAAGATCTCCAGAGAAGGAGACTCCACAGCCTCTCTGGGCAGCCTGTTCCAGGCCTCTGTCACCCTCACTGTCAAGAAGTGTTTTCTCAAGTTCCTGTGGAGCTTTTSGTGCCTCAGTTTGTGGCCRTTTCCTCTAGTCCTATCGCTGGCCACCACTGAAAAGAGTCTGGCCCCCTCCTCCTCACTCCCTCCCTTGAGGTATTTATAGACACTGATCAGGTCCCCCCCTCAGTCTTCTCCTCTCCAGGCT